GCACAAATCCAAAACACAGCCCAATAATAGCCTCTGTGCACCAAATTAACTCTACCCCAGCTGAAACCAGCACACTGATATTGAGAGACTGAGAACCCATCTTCTGCTGCACAAGGCATTGGACATGAACAGGCTGCAAGGAAATATGTTAGCTCAAAGTTAGGAACTGGACATCCCTTGGCACCTCCTCTCCTTTAGGCTTTTCTGTTGGTGCCATGCTACTGCAAATCTGCTATGGGCGACCAGTATGCTATGGCTTAAACAATCCCTTAAATGCAAAGCATTTTCTTGACAGTCCATGTTTTCAAAATTAAATCATTATCAGTTGCATTTTCTATGTAATATGGGAGGGGGTCTTCTATTATTTTTTGAGGTTATTCTTGCACCTAGAAAAATCAAGGTACATGTTACGAGGAAGAGACTAAAAAAGTCAGACTAAATGTGAGCCTTGTCGCTGATTTCTGCTTTTGAATCGCTCCTTATTTTGGAATTTTGCTTGAGTCCAGTGCAATCAATCCTGATGAATTTCATGCCTTAAAATGAGTGTGGGAAAATTCAGCATGCAAAAACATGAGGTGCTTCCCTTGCAGGGAGGGATCTAACAGTACTTTCCTAAACCAGGACCACAGAGGAGATGATGATGGGGGAGAAGAAAACACAGAATGTGGACCCTGTCGAGATCTAATTCAGTGTTCCCATCCATCCATCCATCCATCTATCTGTCTGTCTGTCTATCTATCTATCTATCTATCCATCCATCCATCCATCCATCCATCTGCTTGAATTGTTGTGATTTTATGATGAAAATGTGGGTTTATCAGAGATAAGCTAAGTTTTGCTGGATCTATAGCAGAAGTCAGTGATGTTTATTTGTATCACTCCACAGCATTTGTTTTTAAAAATTCATGTAGTTTTGTCATGACAACACTTCAGATTGAAAAAAAATGGTGAAAACCAACCATAATACTTGATCATGAAGTAAAGAAAACATTGTATGTTTTGTGTAGGACAACTGGTAACAGTGCTGAAAACAGAAATGTCTATCCATGAATTGGTCCAGATGACATGCATCTTTGAGAATAAGGTAATTCATTACAGAATGTAATGGCTCAGTGACAGTTGTTTATGGAAGTTAATGGAAATATGAGAGAAAGAAAGAAAGCAAATAGGACATATCTTCAGAAAAAGAAAGAAAAAAAGAAAATAATCAAAATCACAGTCAATTACAACTCCGTAAACCCACTTTTAAACCATCTCAAAATAATAATGAAATTATCATTAAAGCCCCACATCTACCTGGGGGATAATGGAATAATGAGCAAAAAAGGATGCAGACACCACGGTGCCAGGTTGGTATGTGTGACAAATCCTCCTGAAGTAAATTGATTGGGAACTCAAAATACTGAGTGAACAGATTCAAACAAGACAACTTGAAACAGAGTTTGGTTTTTTTTGGTGTTTTTTTTTTTTTTTTGAAGAAAGTGTTCTGGAAAGCTCTCTAAGGTTGCAATTTGGTTCTGTTACAGGTTTCCCAATGTAAAACACCGCACTGAATTTCAAGGCCTGAAGGCTGTCTGCCTATGCAAGTAAAAAATATCTGAATGCTGGGGTGATGGATATGGAAAAGAATAGGAGTAGATTATAGAGTCTTACAAAATGATAGAGCAGCACAACAAATCAATGCGCTCTGGGGTTGCTGGTGAAGGTAAGTTATATCCTCAGACTGCACAGAATAACTGCTCTTTATGTAATCACACCTGGGATATGTCATTAAATTGCAATACCTCATTACCCGTCCTCAAAAAACACGGAAGAGTTTCAGGGAATTCAGATCTGAAAAAGAAAAATGATCAGACTCTTGGAAAGAGTGATACACAAGCAGAGATTAAGTAGCTTAAATATATAGCTTATCTAATCAATAATTAAGCAGGGGAAGGATAATGGCTTAAAAATATGTAAGAGAAAGATAATTATTTTGCATGATGCATGGTCCCAATTCAGCACAGTGCTAAAACATGTGCAGATCCATCAGCCCTGCAAAACACCAATGTCCAGGATTTCAGTGGAGCTTCAGCACATACCTAAATTTAAGCATGCATTGAAGTACTGTGATTAATTTGGGCCATAACCACAAGTAATAGTATGAAATTAAGAAATGCAAAAATGTAGGCTGAACAGCAGGAAAATCTTCCAAATGGTGAGATATATGAGACTGGGGAGTAATCACTCAAGGGAATTGGTGGAAACCTTATCCCTGGACACATTTCAAGTTTTGCTGGACAAAGTACTGGGAAAATATCCTTTGGGGAATAATCTTGCTGTTGCCTCTGGAGACAACTGCACAACCTACTGCAACTATTCTGTGCCTAAGTTTTTCTGGGCTGACTCACAGCATTAAGTCTGAGACATGATTTTAAAAAGCACCAACAGCGCAACAGGCTGGTGGCATTTTGAAGCTCTTCCTTGCCTCCCCCCACAATTTACTGGGTTTTTTCCATCTTCATTATATGGAATGCTATGAGAGGGAAAAAAAAACCCACACCACCACACTTTAGCTTAGTGGCTTTTTGTCTTTTTGTTACTCACTGGCTGAACATTGATTTCATTCTCATCTCTGCATTAAAACAGAGCTTAAAGATACAGAGAAAATATAATTTCAACTTGTAGGGCTTTGTTTCATTCCCAGAGCATGTATGGTGAATGGTGAATATCATCAGAGAGGTAATTGTGTCTTGAAGAATCTCATATCTCATATCTTTGAGCATCTCAGCAGAAGCAGTATTCAGGATTTGGGGGTTTTGCTAGTTTGATTTGGGTTTTTTTGGGGGGTGAGATTGTTTGGTTGGTCGGTGTTGTGGCGATTTTTGGTGGTTGTTCTGCTTGTTTGTTTCATTTTTTGTTTTTCCCTTCCGTGCAGACCCTGGAAGAAAGGCTGTTACAAAAAGGATTTTCCCAAAGATGAAGCAGTAGATTCTCCAAGGACTTTTTCCACTGGGAATAGTAATTTTGGTGAGTCAAATGCAAGGTCCAAAGAACAACGGCTTTTTAATTGCTTTGAAATCTACTTTTTCTTAAATCAAATTATTGTAGAAGATTGAGCATAATTCACTTGGACATGTGGATATTCTGCAGCCATGTAGCAAAAGGACAGGTGTTCTCTAACAAGACTTTGCAGAGATCTATTGGAAATGGTTGAGATAGATCTGTTAAAAATTGTAGATTTCCCTTCCCTGACCACAGTTGATATTCTTTGTTTATTTTTGCAGTGTCAGTGAACGGGCCTTGATTTTATTATTGGGAAAACAGCACTTATGTTTATTGGTACTAATTTTCCACTGCACATCAATGCATCCAGAATAGCAGTTCTTAACCTTAAATACACATTTCTGTGCCTGCCTAACTAGCAATTCAGCTAGGAACATGTGTGAGCATCTTCCTGACTCATGGTCTGAGTTAACAAACAAGGTTACTTAATTCCCTTATCCCATTTAAAAGAATGGCCTTGCAAGGTCTCCATCATCAAGGATACTTAAGAGCTTGTCAAGGAAAAAGCTGAACAGGATAATTAACTGAGTGGATCTTCCATTGGGTTGCACCAGGAGGCCTCATTTGGGCCCTTCCAGCTGTCTTGGCTAGAGTGAAATCTGGGAGTGCAGCAGCAGCTCCTCAGGTAGGTCTGGTAACTGGGATAAAGCGTGGTGTGTTGCACTCAGGCAATTAGAAAACTATGATTTTCTGAAATCTACTTTTTTGTTTGTTTTGTTGTTAAAAGAGCTTCATTTGTTTAGGTCCTTCCCTCACCAACCAAAACGAAACAAACAATTTGGTTGGTGAGGGAAGTTTTTAGCATGTTTCAGTCAAGCACCATTATTTCCAGAGATCCCATGTAAGCATGTAAGATTACAAATGTTAACACAAACACAGGCTTCTTATCCTCTTTTGTGGAGGTTCCTGACTTTTAGGAGACAAGGGGATTTGTGTTTCCCACCTGCTGAGGGTGCCAGGGCAAGGACAGAATGTGTCTTGCCGCCCCAGCTGATGCCAGGCTGTCCTGAGCCCCATCCCTGTGCTGGGCAGCAGGGAGACCATCCTTGAGCAGCAGGTAGGATCTGATGGGCTGCTTGGATGGGGACAACAGGCTGAGAGGCCAATGGTGCGCTGGGGAATCTAGCGGGGAATGGGTCTGAGCTGGAAACACAAGCTGCCATTGGCTTTCTGGGAGGGCAGCAGCGGGCAGAGCACCCAATCGCGGCTGAGGGAACCGCACAGGCGATGAATCGGTGCCGCAAAGGCAGGCTGCAATTGGCCGCTCGGATGGGCACAAAATTCCAAGCGGCCAATCGGGACGTGGGAGATCCAGTGTGCAGCGAGGTCCGTGCCCAGTGTTGAGGCTGCCATTGGCTACCTGGCAGGGGAGCCAGGGGCAGAGCGTCCAACCGGGCGGTGCGGGATCCTTCGGGAGGGGCTGCGGGACAGGTAGTGCGGGCCGGGGGCTGGCACCGCAGCGGGTGCGGGCAGTGCGGGGCAGTGCGGGCGCGGCGGTGCGGTGCGGTGCGGTGCCGGCCGGCTGCTAGGTGGAGCCCGCGTCCGCGCAACCCAGATCCGGGCCCTCGGCGCTCCCCCGCCCCTCGGCTCGCCGCCCGCCCGGCTCCGTGCGGCCGCCGCCGGGCAGGGCAGCAGCGCCGCGCCGCCCGCCGCCGCCTCCTCCCCGGGCCCCGTTGCCCGCTCCCGGCCCGGCCCTGCGGGGGACGCGGATGCCGCGGGTCCCGCCGGCCCGGAGCGCGCTGCCCGTGTGCGGAGCGTGTGCGCTGTGCCGAGCCGAGCCGTGCCGAGCCGGCGGGGCGGCCATGCGGCCCCCCCGCGCCCGCTGAGCACCGCGCGGGGCGCGCCCGCCCAGCCGCCCCCTCCGCGCCCGCGGAGCCGCCCCCTCCGCCCGCCCGCCCGCGCCGAGCCGCGCCGCGCCGGGGCTGCCGGTCTCCGCAGCGGGAGGAGGAGGAGGAGGAAGAGGAGGAAGGATCCAGGGTGTCTGCGGAGCGCGGGGGGCTGAGGACCACCCGCCTCCCTCTGCGCGGGCGCCTTTGTGTCCCCCAGCCCCGGCGGAGCGAGGGGCCGCGGGCAGGGGAGCGGATGCGAAGAGCGGCTGGTGCTGGAGGGGAGAGAGAGAGAGAGAGAGAAAGGGGGATGGTGGAAGATTTCTCTCCTTTTTTATTTTTTTTTTTTTTGGTGGTCTCTTCGGCAGCGGCTGTTCTTCCTCAGCAGCAGCAGCAGCGGCGGCGGCAGCAGCAGCAGCACAGGCAATGACTCTGCCGCATCCGAATCGCCTGGCCGGTGGCGCCGGCTCCGGAGACATCACCTTGCTCTGAAGTTGCCCACCTGGAGGAGGTAAATCGGAGCGGGGCTTTCGTCCAGAGGGGTCGGCGACGGCGGGGAAGAGGAGGGAGTGATTGCCTCCCCCATCCTCACACACTCATCCTCCGGGAGGAAGCTTGTGTAGCAGAAGAACACGGCAAAAAAGGAAAGACTTTTACTTCTTTTTATTTTTTTTTATTTTTTTTTTAAATTTTCCTTGCTTGAGGGGGACGTCCGTGCTTCTCGTCCGGCCCCCTTTTCCTCCTGGCTGGGGGCTTTGGTACTGTGGCCAGGTCTGCTTCCTACTCCCACCTCTGGTTTTAATGGCTGGATTGTGGCAGCAGCTCCCTGCTGCAGGTTGTTGAGGATCTGATGGGGACTCGCATCTCAGGAGCCGGAGGTGACTAAAGGTAACTAAGGAGCGGATGGATGGATGCTCGGCAGCCCTTGCCTGGCCCTCAGTTGCTCCCTTGCCCGCTTGCGCTGGGCTGAAGGGTGCCGGCCGCCCTGGGCGCACGCTTGGACGCTTGGATTGAATTATGCTCTAATAAGGGTAGTGTGTCTTCAGGGGGGCTGGATCCTCCAGGTAACGGGGGAGCATCTCTGGGTCTGCATGCTGGGCGACAGTGGAGACGAGGGGTGTGCATCTTGTTTGGAAATGCCTTGTAGGCTCCCGGTTTGGCTGTGGGCAGCTAGGGTGGCAAAGACTGTGAGGAGATGGAGGGGACCGGGTAGGTTTTCTTCTTGCTCTCTCTTGGTCTTTTTCTATGAAAGGCACCACGTTGGACCGGGGGGTTTGCTGGTGTTACACTGAGGAATTCGTGAGTTTCATTATGTTCCCTCAATCTCCCCCCTTCTCCCCCCCTCCCCGTCTTCATGCCCGCTCCTCCGTGGATCTGCGTTGCTGTTTAATCGCTGAAGGCTTCCTCGAGAAGCGATTGCTTTCTTGGATATCGGGGGGCATGAGTAGGGGGGATGCTGCCGAATTGGGGGTGCGTGTCGGGGGCTGCCTGTGCTGGATGTGAGGGGCTGGGCAGAGGTGTGAATCCAGCAGCCCCCAGGGTTACAGGTAGACGCGGGGAGCGAGCTTCGCCTTGCCGTGCAGCCGGGGAGCGGAGCGTTCGGTGTAGGTAGGGATGTGCGGAGCTCCCACCTCCTGCCCGTGAGGCTGCCTTTGCTGCCTCTAATCAGTGTAGGGCTGGCGTTTGTTTTGAGCAAGGGCCGGTATGTATAGCTGGAATTGCATTTTTAATGCCGCTTTCCTTTTAACCCTTTGCTTTATTTGCTCCCTTAATTATTTATTTGTGTTCCCCTTGCAATCATTTGACCGCGTAACTTGGAGGTACCGGCTGTAAGGCTGATGGCGGGGAGGAACCATCAGCCGGAGAGCAGCCCTGTTTCCCAGTTTAAGGAGCCTACCTCCAGCTGGTGCCCCTTAGTGCTAATGAAGATGTAGCTACACTACCCCAGAGATGTGCCCTGGGTATTTGGGGGATTGTCTTCCAGGACTGAGTTTGATCAGTAGACTTGCACCCGGAGTTGTCCAGGGAAGTAACGCTGACCTCCAATACATTTAGTTGGGCTTTCTTCCTTACCCTTTCCCCTGCAGACAGGCAGATGTGTGGTTTTGCTTGAGGGGTGGCGAGGTAGGAAAGGAGCCTCTCTTTCTCTCCCTTTCCTGATAGGCATGAGATTCTTCTCTGCGGTAGTTAAAACAACTCGTATTTTGGCCAACAGCAGTGTATTGTTTCTGCTTGTCAACTGTGGAGTTCATTATCGTTTTAACCAAAACAGCCCATGTCTATTGTATTTACTTTCCTGTTTAGATCACTCCTTAGGAGTTATTGCCATTTCCACTCTCACAGTTCTGGTTCCAGGCAGCCAGCTGCTTAGAGGGAGGCTGAGATGCGAGGGAAAAGGCGAAAATGCCATCTGTTTCTTGATATAAGGCAGAGAGGTAGTCTACCGGCTGCAGTTTCTCTCTGTATTACAGCACTTATTATTCCAGAGTGTAGGATCAGAATTGTCGAAGCTGACCAGAAAGAAATCTTCCCTGGAGTTGAAAAGAAATAAATTCCATTTTCATTGTGGAATGCTGCCTCTTAAGAGCGCAGCCAATGCTGCCTGCTTGGTATAGAGTAGTAGCATGTGCTTTGTAGAGCTCATTTATCATCATTTCCAGGGGTCTGCAATACGAACAGGCTTCTACTGTGCATTCATTAGGAAGAATTCTTCCATGGAGCTTTTCATGGGAGTAAACCAGGTGTTACAGGTTAAAATGGGCTGCTGTCAGAAAGTCTGCAGTTGTCACTTTAGATCTATGCCAATGTTGGGTGACAAAGTTCAGGTTAGGGCTCCATGGTAAAGCTGTATTTTTTTCCTAAAGATTAAAGTGCTCTGAGAGAACAGGAGTCAGACCCCCTTGTTGTGGTCGAGGCTGCTCTGGTTCCTGCTCTTTAAGAGTACTTTAAGAGTACTTTTTCCTTATTTAGGCTTGGTTTACTATAAAGTGACTGCTGTCTTGTTACCTGCTAGCAAAAAATAAAGTGGGTAGAAATCTCTGGTATGTTTATTTCCAAAAGGATTGAACTTTCTGTAAAGCTAGTGTTCACCTGTGAGTTCCAAATAATTTCTGTCATTGAATAAGTATGCATTTTCCCTTTTCTTGTTGGGGTGGTATGTTTAGTTTTGCATTGAATTCAGAACAAGATAAATGACAGTGTAGATTGATGATAGTGAAAACATTGAGTGCTGCTTTGCAGGCAGTGAGATTTTAATGCTATTTATTAAGTTGAGGCTACCGAGTCCTCATGGAGATGTGTTTTTGTGACAAGAGTGGGAGCTGGTGTTTCAGTTTCTTGGTGCCCCCCGGAGATGAAGTAGTTTATGCGTTAGCCTGGGATATGTGAATTTGTCCCTGTGCCCTGCCGGATCCAGCCCTCCACCCCCTCCTTTGTTTGCTGTGCATCCCCCAGGTTGGGGTGCCATGGGGAGCACGTCCTTCCTCCCAGTTGGGGGTGATGTGGCAGAGGTGCTCAGCTTGCCTGTGCAAGCACTGATTGCAGTAAAGGCTTTTTTCCTCCTGAAACAGAAAGCAAATTGCCCAGTGCCTGCTGGTGGAAAGGTGAAGCTGGTGCTCTTTGCTGGGTGGGAGGGAAGTCAAGCAGGTTTGTAGGTGAAAATGCAGGCATGCACATCCAGCCAGCTGACTGATGAGCTGGATGTCTCAGCCCAGCGTTGCAGGGCTGTTGGAAACATAAATAGATATTTAGAGGCAGGTAGAGCGAATGATCAGCCAGGACTGAACAGGAATGTGCATGACCTTTAGCTTTGGGCAGCGCTCAGCTGGAGGGCCTGATGCTGCCGTCAGGGTTTTCACATTCAGAGCATGAGTGGATGCATCATCAACACGTTTATTCATGCACACGGGGGAGGGAAGTCTTTGTAAATGAAGAAGTCCTAGGAATGGGTGATTTATTAATAATTTTAATACTAATAGTGTTGGGACTGGTGTAGATTGACTAGGAAGCAATTTAATGCGTGACACAATATAAAAGATGGGTTAAAGATTGATGAAAGAGATGGAATTCAGGGAGCAAGAATGGATCAGAGAAAAGCTAAAGCATGGAGGATAGGAATAAGGATTTCTATGCTTTAAATAAGTTTCTTTTAATTTTTTCCTGTTGTAATTATATTACTTGGTGATTGTGGAAAAACGGCTGAATGCTGCAATTGGAGTGATTTTGATAAAGATTTTCATTCCCTAGAGGCATCTTGCATATCACAAGAGGTTTGTAAGAACAACTCTAAAATTAATTTTTTTTGGAGTGGCGATCATCTGAGAGATAGACATCACAATATTGATGGGTTGCTGAGGACTGTAGTGAAATATCAAGACAGCCCTGCAAAATAAAGAAGGTTTTGTCTGCCCCTTCTGATGGGCTGCTTATTGGAGTAGGATGTGCTGGTGAGCATCGACATTCTGGAGAGATGTTTATGGACGCCCATTTCTTCCCTGCTGGTCCTTTTCTCATTCAATAGATGCGCTCCTGCTGGGATGGGAATATGAAAAATGCACCATGATGCCAAATTCTGAGTGTACATCCACGTTTCAGTCTCTGCTATGTCTTCAGGCAGTGCTTTCAGTTGCAGGATGGAGAGCTAGAAATTGTCGATTGCAGGAGTTCAGTATGCACTGGTGTATTTGAAGGAATGTACCTGTCCCAGTGAGGGGGTGTGATGTGCTAGCCTCTGGCTGCCTCGTCTCCTGGGGTCATGCCTGCCTTGCCAAATGTTTGTCACGCTCCTCACCAGCACTTACTGTGAGGCTCTTTAATCCCTGCTTGGGATGCATGTGAGTATGTCCTGTTTCTGTAGGTGTTGAGATGCTCCAGCACTCCCTGATCTCATCCTCATGCTTAGTGTCAGTGGAAGCTCCCAGAACAGTCTGATGAAGTAGAAGGAGAACTTTGCTTTTAAGCATCTACTTTTAATTCTTGCCTACTGTAATGGCAAAGAAACCACCTCCTACTCAAATCTGTGATGTGATCCTATCTAGGACGTTATCTCATTGCCTGGTTTTGGCCTCCAGGTTTGCAGTGTAATGCTTGCTTTACATTCCTCACTAGATAATCTCTACAGTGCAGTCTGAAATTCCTGTCTGCAAGCTAAGTGTTCGTTTTAAAGACAACTTCTCTGAAGACACCTTGGCTCTACAGCTTTTACTTCAGCAGTCTTTTCCGAGAGCCTTCTGACTTTGCCTGTAAGGCAGATGCTTTTACCAGTCATTGCACCAAGCATCTGTAACTATAGTAAGGTAGCTAGTCTTTTCAGGAAATGTCATTTTAATAGTGTTGTGGACCACAGTTTTACTTACTAAGTGGTGCTCAGTGAGGGATTTTTTCAGCCTGCCTGAAACCCTTGTTTTCCTCTGAGTCTTTTTTTCCCCTCCCTTTTTGAGCTTTTAATCTCTACTTCTTCAGGCCCACTCCCATCCGAGGGAGGCACTGCTACGTCTGTGATGGGAGCTCCCACTGTAGTCAGTGGAGCGCTTCTGTTGGCTTCCCTGTGAGGGGAAGATGCTCAGGAATCTCACATGTGCTATCTTCTGAAGAGAAGCTCCAGAATCTCAGATGAGGTATCTTTTCAAAACCATTCCCCTGCTTCAGCATCAAGTTTCTAGTAATTGTTTTGTAATATCTTTGCCAGAGGTGGCATTTCAGGCCAAACAAAGCAATGAACACAGAGGAAGAGTAGAAATCTGTGTAGACTTCTAAAATGTGTTTGTGAAAACAGTCCAAAATTAAAATCAAGACACTTTTGTTTGAGGCTTGACAGCTTTCAGTTTCAAGGGTCATGAAATAAACACCATTCTGAAAAAAGCAAAGAGGAGTTTGGCAGCTGTCCCAGT